TGAGAAATTACACGTGGCTCAATGTTATCAAAATTTAGCACATACTTACAACTTCTCGTCCAATCAAATTGCTTGAATTTGCCCTCTAATTTTCATAGTACATACTTTTTCCGTGTACTAAGTATCTACGCACGAATGACCACAAGGGTAAGATTTCATTGTATCGTAATCAAGATATTAAAACAAAAATTGCCACTGGCTATTTTAAATTAAATGCTGTGTTCCAAATTAAATAACATAGTTTGTAATTAGTTTTTACATTGATTTTTAAATACCTTTAGATCTAAAAAAAAAGTGTTTGACGATTGCAAGTTTCTTTCATTTAAATAAAGAGTAACAAATATGGTTCTTTATACCTTGATTAGAGAACAACGCCATCTTAAAATTATGATTTATCATCCATGCAATTACTTTGAACACAAACAAGTGTGTACTATGAAACCTTGTAAAGGGAAATTAAGGCAACTTGATCTATTTCGTCATGAATTGATTGATTGGTTGATTATTGGTTGCTTAATGTCCAGTGGCAAATATTTCATGCATGTTCAGGACGATGTCATGAATTGAAAACCCGTAATAATGTCTGAAGAGAATGTGCCACCTATATATATATATACGTATATACATGTTCTGATACATCTTTTAGTTTTTACTTCGAAAAAAAAATATAAACCCTAGTATCTTTGATCTATTGGTAGTTGCTTTTTAATGACTAGTCGCTAGACTATCTATGGGGACATACCAAGGGCGGATCAGGCCTTTTTTAAAAGGGGTTTCCAACCCAAGATAAGGGGGGGGGGTTCCAACCATACGTCCCCATTCAAAAGCATTGATCGTCCAAAAAAGGGGGTTTTCCAATTCCCGTAACCCCCTCCCTGGATCCGCCACTGCATACTATCTATATGTTTCAAATTTATTATAGCTTTAGTTTTACTGTGAAATTGAAAAATGTTTTCAAGACATTTAAAGCTTCCACTGCAATTTAATTATTGCCTGCTTTTGGTCAATTTATTTTGTCATCTTACCATGTAAAGAAGTACATGTATAGTAAAACACCGCTTTATACCAATAAATATACTTACACCAGCAGCTACCATCTTTTCATTCTGGAGTCGAGGGCCTTTTGAAATCACATAATTTACATTGATACTAGTGAGTAGATTTACAAAACTTCGTTAATGAGCTGCGTTTTACAAACACCTGTGATACAAGTAGTCAGCCAAAATAAACTATCAATAGACCAATTAAAATATTACTCGAGTTGTAAATATGTGCTAAATTGGATAGTCTCTGAAAAGGTATATACTATGAAATTAAGAGCTCGGGGCAAGCCCCTCGCTCTAAATTTCATAGTATATACCTTTCCATAGACTAACCTAGACATGGAGGTATAAAGTTTTGAACGGTAGAATAAAATTCAATACTTCTATTAATGTAATTTATTTTTACATGTTTTAGAAAATACTTTTTATGATCTTCAGATTTGTCAATTTGCTAATTGGCATTTGACCCAGTTTGTATAATAATTGATGTCTACCATTGTTTTTAAATATAGATAAAAAATCATCAAGTGTAAAATTAGAACGATGTTTATTTCGTTGATAGCGGTTAATGCGATTGCCAAGAGACTTATGATTGCGTTGTCTTTTATCAACAAAAGTTACCTTGGTCCATGAAATTACCAATTTCTAACTACATTTTATGTAAATTTTTAATTACAATTGAACCATATGGGATTTACAAGACATTAACATTCATGTTTATTTTTTGCCTTTTCGTTCACTTATTTATATGGTTTATATGGTTATATTTTAGTTGTAGCATTTATTTTCTCAATGGTGCATTTTATAGCCATACCTTAACAATATTGTTTATCTATTTACATCATTAGATATTTATGAATTTTCACTTGAAATATGAAACAATTCTGTTTTCATTCTTATGACTCCTTTTCTTTTTCAAAGATTCTTCATGTTCTGTAATGTTCGTTTCAGCCCACGTAAGAAATCGTACACATTAACATAGCTTTCCGACTGAATAGATGAACATATATTTCAATTGTTTATCCTTTTCATTTATACCGTATTTATACAAGTATTCCAATATATATTATGAAAACCAATCTGTTCAAATCATATGAAGTTGTGGTGTGTTTGCCAATTAGGCACATATACACCAGGAACAAGAGGACGAGGATACAAACAACTCTATGGTTGATTAATGCATGTCTATTCGAATATTCTGTTTACCATTTATTCATGTACAGGGGTCGGCAAAGTTCCTGAATAGTAAATGCATCTAAAAAAATTGTAATGCTCCTTTTTGCAAACGTCAGTATGGTTCCGGTTATGAAAGCTGAGTAAAAAATTTGTCTAACCTAGCTTGTCCAGCCATATATCAAACTGCATGGCCCTATGTAACCACTTGTGTTATCTTAAGAGGGTGTCCAAAGCTATAGCCAAACCCATTATCTAAGCTGTACTGCACAGCTATCATAGAGGAATGAACTCAATGCTGCTCAAAGTTCTCAAGACAGGGCTCGTATCGATCTTTTGAAGTAAGCCAATTGCAACTGATTTGACAGTTTGTTCTTATATTATGCGGTTTTACCACTGTCCACACTGTCCAAGGTTAAGGGAGGGTCGAGCGCTCACAAACATATTTACCCCCCCCCCCCCATCCACCGACCCACCCCAATTCTATATGTGCCTGTCATAAGTCAGGAGTCTGTCATATTTGTTTTTCGTAAACTGTTTTGTTATTAAATAGGCCGTTAGTTTACTCTTGTGAATTGTTTCACATTTTTCATGTCGATGCCTTTTGTAGCCGACTATACGGTATGGGTTTTTACTCATTGTTGAAGGTTATACGGTAACCTATATATATATATATATATATATATATATATATATATTTATAGCTATAGCTGCTTACATTCACATAGTTTGAACTCTAGTGGATACATGTAGTTGTCTCATTGGCAATCATACCACATCTCTTTATTTTTATAAAGATCTACAATTACACCACCAATTACCAAAATAGCGAGGAAAAAGATAAAATATGACAAACGACAACTTCTTACGAGATTCCCGTCTTGGGACTTGTGATTGAAAATGTGACCGGGCCGGGGTAAACTATTTTTTTAGATCACACTCCTATCCAATGTATATACAAAAAAAAAACACCAAAAACAAGAATGTGTCCATAGTATACGGATGCCCCACTCGAACTATCATTTTCTATGTTCAGTGGACCGTGAAACTGGGGTCAAAACTCTAATTTGGCATTAAAATTAGAAAGATCATATCATAGGGAACATGTGTACTATGTTTCAAGTTGAATGGACTTCCAACTTCATCAAAAACTACCTTGACCAAAAACTTTAACCTGTAGCGGGACAGACGGACGGACGAACGGACGCACAGACCGAAAAACATATTGCCCCTTAACTATCGTAGGTGGGGCATAACAAATTAAATTATACCGTATCAAAGAATGCTTGCAGGTTCTGAAAGCAAGCTATTAACCTGCTGATAAGAAATCAATCCGTCTTGGCGTCATGAACTGAACTAGTATTCTGCGGAAGGATAAGTAGTTTCTGCTCCATCGTAACACCCAACAATAATGTACTAAAACACGACTTTTAGCCTTTTATGCATAGTTGTCTTTTGTTTTAACTTGAAGACAATCTATTTGGGATCTGATTTGACGCATATTCTAAAGAGTGGATATATTTCTGTCGATAAGGGATATATACATTTATCTTAAAATCACCTCCTATACATTTCTAGGAATATGATTGGTTAAAAGCAACCGCGTGGAGACCGTGTATATTCCATATTGGGTAAGTAAGGTTCCATATTGGGTTAGTAGGCGGTTAGTAGTGGTGTTACGTCCCTTTATAAAAACAACACGGTGTTGAGGAAAAATCTTAAAGGTTTCAACAGACGGAGAAATTGATGATGAACGATTGAAATAAATTCATAAAACACATTTAAAGCTAACAAGTTGTTATTGTTGGCATTTGTTTTTGTATAGACCAATGGAAGTAGGTTCTTAATACTAACGGTGTTGATGACTTGATCACTTTGATAGGCTACTAGTCTAAATACCACATGTTAAGATAGTCGGTAAGATAAATTCGTTACATAGTGTGCTACTGACGTAATACGATATATATGGGGTCAGTAAATTCAATATGGGGTTCGAGCTTCGCTCTCACCCCATATGGAATGGTCGCTAGCACACAATGTAACTAATAACATTGTACGGGTAAAGGTAAACAACTGACTGTAATATCATCATTTTGTAATGTATTCTGAATTCAGAAATTGTATAGTCCCGTCTATTAAGTACAGTAATTTGTTAAAAATAATTGATCGGTCATCTTGACAAGGGGGTATGAGCCATATCTCGTGTTAACAAAAACGAAGATAAGAATTGTAAATAATGTTAAAATCAGGACACTCCAATATAATATAATTATTTCCGGGCTTTACTGGGGATATGGGCTCATATTCTCTGTCAGTGTCCTACATCCCTTCGACTAACGACTCAGGAGATACAAAACACCGGCAGGGAATATGAGCCCATATTTCCTGTGAAGATCCCGAATAACATAGAATATCTTATTGTACGTTGTTTTATGTGCATTTTGTCTAGACTCTTCTGATCGAATTTAAAAGGGAAATCCAGAAAATAAGTTTAACCTTCCCTTGTCTATTGTTAAAGACCGTAAGTTGATCTCTAGATGACTATTGGTTAAGTGATGTGTTTGGTGGCTGTCTCATTGACGTAAAGTATAACTCTTCTGTTATTCATACTGATTTAGTGTTTTACCATAAATACATGCCATGCGCAGTGACATCTGTATCTTATTGACCTATTGTACTTCATAGGAAATATATGTCAACAGTAAAACAAGTGTCTTTGGCAAATGCATTTGTAAACTGAATTCAAAACCAAAAAATATATAATAACTACTGCATCCTGTTACAACAGGGAAAGGTTGTTTATTTTTTCTCGTCCAATTCCAGTCGTCGTACGTGTACATGTTGTACATGTAATATTGAAATGTACATCATATAACTGAAACACATTTACGGCTCCCGAAATAAATCTAACATATTTGTACATTTCAATCCAAATTTATTTGATAATCAATGATTTACATTAGTGATTATAGATAAAAAGAAATCTATTAACATGAACTTTCACTAATGTGTAATATAATTCCACTGACTTGATCATTAAAAATTATATAAGTAAGCTCACTTTATCAAATATTTATCTCTAAATTAGAGAACCAGTAAAGATAGAACCAATCAGTTCCATTTCCATAACGACATGCCAGAAATGGTACAATTAACGGTCCATTTTAGACAGAAAGAGTCGTAAATTTGATCTACAACAAGATCTGTGGATAATTCCTTTTAAGGCAAGCGTCACTATATGTTTATAATGACGTTGTAGATACGACTATCGTCTCTTTTTAACTTAAAGGAAAAACAAATACTTGGTAAAAAAATAAAAAGTTATTAGATATTTACTTGGCTTTAGGTAAAAAAATAAAAAGTTATTAGATATTTACTTGGCTTTATCTGCATTATTTAGAATAGAAAAGTTACATCTGTCAACAATCCTTAGTGCTAGTATACAATAATTAAAACGGAAAAGAGGAATTTATTCCGTTTCCTTCTACAGTAAAATGGGAGAAAACAAGATTATTATTTATTCACTGCTGTGAACGTATGAAAATAAATGAATAATGAAAAATAAATAATAAAAATAAAGATATAAATAAAGATAAAAATAAAAATAAAGTACAGAGGAGATGTGGTAACTCAACGATAGAACCAAAAAACGTGGTTATCATTTTCATATCAAATCTAAGGGTATGTGTCGTCTGCTTAAAAAGCCGATTTAAATCTTTTAGTCATGTTTCATCTTCAAAATATAACAGGACAATTTTTAAGTTAGGCTAACAGCAACAATTAACAATAAAAGCAATCAAAAAACGACTTGGTATTTTGAGAGAAAAAAGGATTGAACAAAAATGCCAAACATCTAATATTATTATAATATTTACAAAAAAAGTGTTCGAGATGCATCCTTAGGCTGTCACTATCACTCAAGCACCAACGAAATCAATATAAATCTAATCATATCTCCAGAAGAAAACATAAATACTTTTTTATCTAACTTTTAGTTTTTATGTGATTTTTTCAACAATTTCAAAGCACAGAAGACAAAACATCGTCAAGAAAATCGTCTTAATTTGAAATTGTCCGTTGTTATTTAAAAGTGTTATTTTTTGCGCCTATTTTTAAAGGCTTTTGTCGTCTGCTACCGGTTGAAGTCGGTCAAGTAATGCAGAATATAGAGTTCTCTTTCCATATCCATTTCCACAACCACCCATGTTACAAAAAAGCCTTTTCTGTTGTGGTTGTCTTTGTTCGTCTCTTATCACAGGTACATCATATGATCGTTTCCCATTCCCACATCCAAAGAAACCATTGCAGAATGGACGCTTTTTAATCAATGACATCTGTTCTACCGAATCCTGAGGTTTCCTGCGTCGGAATCTATTTAAACAACCGACGGCTCCGTTACAAAATATTCTTTTTCCTGACGAGAGTTGTCGGTCATCAACTGCTAAGAGAGCGTCAAGGGAAGGTGTTTCTTGTTCTAATAAAAGTTCATCAACAATGTCTCGAAGCTTGCTTCTTGGTGGGTCTGTTAGTAACTAAAAAACAAGAGACGATCATAAGCATATACAATAATACAATTTTCTGAACGTAATTATGAGTTGAAAATATAATCATCACTTATTGTTTTATAATTATGATAAACACATAAAAAACGTTTAGTAACTATATGGGCATTTAAAAAAAAATGTTCTTCTCGTTCACCCGATTTCCCCTTGCATTTGAGGCTACAACAACACAGTGTTTTAGTCTCGGCTAAAATTCACCTCTATCGATTTTTTTCATTACTGGTTGTTAAAAAAATGACAATCCCTTTTGTTGAAGTCTTTCCAACACTGTATCTGTTTTGTCGGTTTCTACATATAGCATGATTTGAAATAACAATTCGAAAGCAAATCATTGTCTTATACGCAATCAACACATGTCTAAGAATGTCACCAAACAATGGAAATATTTTCGGAAATAAGAAATTTAAATTTCGCTCAATTGCTATATTCATACAAATACGTTGCTTTAAAACGTTTAGAGAACACTCATCAAACATGAACGATTCCAACAAATATAATAACTATAAAAGGGATTTGGTTACTTTACCAATTTTCCGGTTTTTACCTGCTGTTGTATATACGATATTGTAATCATTATAATCACAACATGGTATTATTTCAAAAATATTAGTAGCCTTACAGTAGTTTGTTCTGTCTAACTATATCCCATAAAAACATTCGAAACTGCGTATAAGTTCTACGCACCATCGGATTGGAATAAGGTAATTTATTGTCGATTGGTCGTTTTTCTGTAACATCAAAATCTAACTATTAAGTAATGATTCTATGTAAGTTTGAAAGTTCGAGTTAAAGGGGATTATGTACACACGCGTTACTCTTTCTAATTAAATTATACTAAAATAACCAACATACGTAGACGATAGCTCTCAAGTCCGAAACAACAACCCCTTCCCTCTTACCAAAAATTAAAAAAAAAATAGTGCAACATTATCGAAATAAACCAACAAGCTAAATTTGAATAAACTAGATATACATGATACATATCAAATGTATAAACACGTATGACCTTTCCAAATAATAAATATATAACAAGCGATAAGGAATGTTATTTTGCGTTCGGTTATCAGTAAAAAACGAAAGTCACGTGGGTAGAAATGTCTGTGGCAACAATACACCGGAATGCCCTCACGGTCATCCGATGTAAAAAGGGGAATCAATATTGAGTATAAAACACATGAAATACTGTCGAAAAAATAGAACATCAAGAAAATTAAGGTTAACTCCATAGGTGTCGTCAAATTGACCATTTCCATCCTTGTGGATTACGTTGTATAGTTTCAGCGTCCAATGATGTCACGATCTCTGTAAAGACCAATTAGTGCGTCCAAAAGCAATGGGTTTCCCATAATGCAGCATTACTACAGAATAGGTCCATGATTTAACCGTTATATAAAACCGCAATGTACTTATTGTTGGATAACACTGCCTTCTCGTGATAAAATGGCCATTATTTTTATCAGCAAATCAAAATATTACATTAAATAAGCCAAAGGGTTGACTGGAGTATATCAAAACCCTTACGAAAGAGGGACGTCTATTTGGTTGTGCTAGATGTATAAATACACAGCCACGTGAGGTCGGACTTGGAAAGTTAAATTTGAATCTCAAGTTTTAAATGTGTAGTAAATACTTTACATTTAAAATATTAGGATTCCTGTTTTAATGTTATGAATCATTATAATATCCTATGGCAGTTTATAATTACCACGAAAAATCCTAGAGCAATTTATAATTATAAAAAAACCTACTGGTTTAACACCCAAAGAGAATTTTTCAAAAAACATTCTAACTTATTTGATAATGGATATGAAATTTCTTTTCGAATATTTATTACGGTTTTCTCGAACCGATCGTCTCCCAACCTATCCAAACAAAAACATTAAAATACAAATACAAATGTTTTTTTTTTAGGACTTTTCACATTGTCTTGCCATTTTACAGCCAAAAAAATGTCACCTTTTATATCCCTCATTCTTTCATTTAAAATCTACAAACAAATAGTGATCGATGTTCATTTACTATCCATATATCCTTCCATGTGAAAACTACAAAAGTACTAAATCAACAACGGCAAAAGTTGAGTGAACAGTCGGATAACTAGTAAATGACCGACAACTCCAGATGAAGACTTTGAAACAACATAATTCCCGTATGATACCAGGAGTGCCATCTACTTAGCTTCACTCTACAGTTATGACCCGTCAGTTCTAAATTATAGATTTATCATTTCTATTTATTCCTAGTTATGATACGAGTTAACTGCATTATTAACAATGGAACTTAGATATATTGCCCTGTAAACATTTGAATATTAATTTTCATTGACTATTAGCCTGTCATTTATAGTCACAAGATTATAGGACTCATATCGTAGGTGAACCGCTACATCAATCTGAATGTAATATGTATTAGATACAATACAAAGGTAACAAAGAAACAGGCCGGTAACAAACGTTGCGGGATAGTTTGTCTGCACGAGTAGTCAGGTAAAGGTCCGAGGCGATAGCCGAGGACCTTGACCTGACTACAAGTGCAGAAGAACTATACGGCAGTTTGTTTCCGGTTTGTTTTTTTATTACCTTTGTTTTGTATCTGACTTGTACGACATTTCAAGAAATAAGTAGTACATTTTGTATTTAGAAGAGGTAGCAAAATTAAACAGGTTAGAAACTTAAATGGCCATATACCAGTTAATGTAAGTTACCGTTTAAACAATTTTTTTTCACTTCCCTTCAGCCGAGAGTTTTTTTCTCAAGAAATTCAAGAATCTGATAATTTTATAAAAAAAAACCAACCATGTCAAGTAAAAGATGAATGTTGTACACATTTGAGACTTTTTAAAATGCAATTTCGCTAGTAAGTAATGTATGAAAAACATTTCAGAGGTAAGCAAGCTAACATTTGATTTTTATTTGGGGAAAACGGAAAAGGGGGGGGGGGGGGGGGGGGTGGGGGTTAAAATAAATTTAAAATAAACAGGCTTGATCCTTTCTTTGTTGAAAAAATGCAGGATGTGCCATTCCATTCCCCCTTAAAAAATAATAAAAATCGTACGTTTGCTCCCAAATATATGAATTCATTATATATGTCATTGAATTCAATAACAATATAAATGTATAAAAAGAATGAATTTCCTTTTTCATTAGTGAATGAAATGTTATTAAAAAATGGATTTTGTCTTGTTATTAGATATATATTATAATATAGGCATATATTTATGATTTTTTTTTAAATTTTCATGCTTGTAGATTTTTATATGTCTTTAATAGTGTGGATCAGAATTAGACACGTGTCACAATATGATCCAATCGCAGCTTACCGTCCCTCAATTGGTGAAATAAGTTGAATGATTTTCTTCAAGATTCGCTACCTATTTGAACATGTATTACACGGAGACTTTTTATTTATAGGATCAATCGTGCATTGGTGAGTTGATAGGGATTTTATATTTTATTTAGATTTGATTTTTTTTATATATATTTCTTGTCTTTTTTATTGAAATATAAACGTCGGTACCAGCATTTCTTTACTTTCGGCATTGTCCAAAATACTATTCATGTCCATATATTGAAAAAAATACATTTACGGACCAACCATTTAGCTTCAAAAGGGGGTATGTTTTTCTGAGTAAGAAAATTATTTAGTTTTTCAACGCTATCACCCAAATATTTTTTTTCGAAATTAGCACTATTATATACGGTATTCGGAAAATCAGTAATCAGAACATTATTTTGTCATCTGCTTGACCACAATATATTTTTTCTCATAAAATTGGGGATCAGTATATTTTTTTAGGAAAAAACCATAACACCCCTTTTGAAGTTAAATGGTCAATCCCTTAGTGTACTGATATGAATAGTAATATACTGGAATTGTTTGAAAAAATCTTATGGTTATTGATGCCAACGTAAATATTTTAATAAAAAAGACAGGAAATATGTCGGTGAAACAAAAAGTTCAAATCTAACTGAAATTTAAAGTGCCCATGAACTCACTGATTCTATTCATAAAAAGTGTCCGTGTAACAACTAAAAAGTGTCCGTGTATCATCTAAAAAGTGTCCGTGTAACACCCGTTAATGTACTGTTTTTCTATAGCTCTGCTGGGGGCAAAGTCGTACAAGCTTAAAATGATATGTGGGTTATAATGTATACGTCAATGAGACAGCTACAAAACAACAAAAATAACTACAAAATAACTATTAGACATCAGCAGGGTAAATAAACTCATATGTCGCTCGTAGTAAAAATATTTAGCATAAAGGGCCAACCCATGGTAAAATCACAATAAATTCAAGCCCCCATGAATTATATCTTAATTATATCATATAAAAACCTACGAACTCTATACTATAGAAAAACGAGACTATATAAAAACCTACAAAAACTAGAGTATATAAAAACTTTGGACCACTTATCTATATAAACCCTACAAAAACTAGATTATATAAAAATCTGAGGACACTGATGTATATAAACCTACGAAGAATAAACCTAGGTTGAATATACTATATGAAATTTAAGTACACTGGACTATATCAAAACTTGGATTATACCCAAAAAGTCAAATCAGTTTAATGTTGTCCATTTCGAATAAAATGGGTTGCTGTCTCTTGACATTAATACATACATCCTTTTATTCCAACTTACAATCCGATTTAAATACTAATCATGTTTCCACGCTTCGCTTTTATCTGTATTCTCATTCTCATTCTAATAGATGTCTGTTTGTGTTTTAGGTTGCACGTAAACTTGACGTATAAACCATATCTCAATTTATTTAAACTTACAGAAATTAGAACAAAAGCCATGATATAGAAAACATGTTCAGATGTAAACCATACTTCAAACTTTATTGTTAATAGAATGTGTTCTTTCTTTTTTCTTGAACTTCGCAAATCTAATCAGGTAATCCTCAGCTTGTGTTGTATGCAATTGATTGTATAGCAACTGTTAAATTCAATACAGCATCCTTTTTTCATTATAGGGTTTGTTACTTTTAATCTCCTGCATATTTCATTCTTTATATAATTAAATACTTAATGAACACTCAAATAAATACTAAATATATATTTAAAGTTGCCATCTCACAACTCGTTACCATCTACACACTAAAGATATAAGTTTGCTTAGTTTAATTTAAAAAAGAGGCACAAGTAGTCTATACCAAGGAATCGCATGAACTCTTAACGGGACGAGACCGGTTTCGTAGACACGGTAAGAGTCTCCCGCTATGGATACACTCTCCGTAGTGCGAACCCAGTCTCAAAACAGAATTTAATTAATAATATGTGCAGGCTACAAGCAATGTAGGCAACTCCTCGATATGAACAAATTTGTAAAAAGAAAAAGTCGGATACTAAGTTCGATGTATCTGTATTTGGACCATACGCGTATGGTCATGACCATATGCGTACATTTATATACCTATATGGTCCGGGTAATTAACATCATGAACGATGAAAAGTTACTTTGACTGTTAATTGCGCACAGTATGACCCTTCAAGGTGTCATGAATTAAAAATTTCTAAAAACAAATACTAGTATATGATTATCATTGTTACATGATGTAATAAAGTAAATTCTAATATGACGTGCTTCGTTCGCTTTGTAAACAACACCGTGATAAAATTCTCGATATATCTATACTTAGCGCAGACTCAGAGATATACATAATAATGGATGTTACAATATACCTCCCTCGTAAATCCACATGTATTGGAACCTATTTGCAAATGCTATGCCGATTTTATTGTTTTAAAAATTGCAATTTAAAAAAGACTACAGAGCTTTTATTCTTATTCGGATGCATAACAAAAAGAATAAATGCACAAGAGCTCGGAGAAATCTACAAAATCAAAATAAAATAAAATTCCGCGAAAGTCCATTAATGCTTTTGGCGCATTTAAGTCACTTCAAAACATGACGTCATACAAATGAAAACGCTAAAGCTGAAGGTTTTTCCGTTATGTGAACCATCGAAATTCGTATAATATTACATTAAAATGGACTTTTGAGGTAGGTGTTGTTTTATTTTCTATTTTATTGCATTATTCGCATATTTACTGATTTCAGCAAGTCAACATGGCGGTTCCTTAGTTACGAAATGTCAACTTTGGATTTGCCGGTAGCTTACGAGAAAAACATGTAAATTAAAAATGGCAAATGTTGGGTTTGAGAATTAAAAGAATTAAGCACATTTTTTCTAGCGGTTGTTTACGAAATAATTCATGCAAGCTACAGATTTATTAGAATGTTTTAGCTTTATCTAACAGGGAGTAAAAAAGAACAGCCACACACACGGCATACCCACCCTCGCTTCAGTTTTTTAATGTCCGTATTTGTCCTATTAGAATCGAAATAATTCATGAAAGCCATAGATTTGTTGTAAATTTACACATGGCCTGGGCCATGTGTAAATTTCCAACAAATCTATGGCTTTCATGAATTATTTCTAAATTTACCTACACGTTAAAATTGTAGGAAGGTAATTATCGATTTTCCTCACGAAACACAATATGTCGAATTTGAAAAATAACTCCAAGAAATATCTAAATGAACTGTAAAATAAGAAGTCAACTGTTTGACTCACAGACACTTCGGGCATTGAACCCTCATTGTTCTTTATTTTATGTGTTAAAATTCTTTATTAGTAATTCAAAATTTCTAAAATATTTCAAATTATTTTTTCTTTTTCCATACGATCTAACAATACCAGTAGTTTATACGTGCTGTCCTTCTATTCGTATGTGGAAAATAAGAAAAGAGAGGCATCATGTATAAACTACTGTTATTGTGAGATGAACAGGAGCAAGAATACATCGATTAAGTGAAAATAAGTAGAAGTTTGAAGATTTTTTTTCTATGAAAACTAACCTAAAACACCAGCGGAAAAAAAGACAAAATCTCAATGCCTCAAACGACTGTTGTTTCACCTATGACCTAAAAGTTTACAGAATAAAGGCGCTATATGGATTGACTCTATCGAAGGCAATTTAACATATACACCAAGTTTCAGACAATATGTCAAAGATAAAGGATTTCAGTTAGTAACTTGTGCCGATTTTGGATCGGAGAACGAGCTGCGTGTTCCTGCGAAAGAAATAAGAATTTCTTCTAAAATGCCTGTATCGTATGGTCTAAATACTCATATGATCCGGATGGTAGTCACCAAACGAGTGTACTAAAATGGTCCAACCATATGAGTATCATACGCGAATGATCCAAAACACATATGATACGGAACATATACACATCTCATATTTTACGGTTTAAAAAAAGTGTGTGTCATATTTGAAGTCAGTTTGTCAATATTACTTGAATTTCTGAAATGATCTTAGTATACTCTGAAAGCATTAGGTTGATTTTGTTAGCGGATCTACTTTCTCTTTAAGGTACATTTTGAATTTGCCAAACCATATGGACAGGTGTTCTTTTAATATGGTTATCATTTAAAAGGAGGCGCATGTACATTGTATACCCAAGAGAACATGTAATTACACCACAAAACTAAGTGATACATTTATAAATGTAGTATTCTATTCTCGTAAATTAGATGATATCAAAGAAATTATCCGAAATAATCAGAATAAAGCTGATAATTGGTATTTTAATACTTAATTAATTAATTGAATTGTTCCGTAACTCGAGGACATAATTTTATAAAATTTACTAGATTCGTATCGTATAAGGAATTAGTTTCATATTAAAGTTCCATGAGGACGTTACTATACACAAGAGTAATATTATATTTTGAATAAAATGTAACAATTTAAACTAATCCACATTTAGTTTTCAGCTGTTTGTTTGTAATTCAAATATTATTTTCAACGAGAACAGAATCCAATTGGGACAGGTTTTTTCTTTTTCTTTTTCGTCGCAAATAGTGACATGTATTTCCATAATTAAAACAGCAATGCATATACAATATATGTACCTTGTCGGAAAATATAAATATATATATATATATATTTCCGACAATGTACATTATATTGTAATTATCCTGTAATATACACCCGGCACTTTAAGGTTCAGTTGTTTAAATCCAAATAGTTTCAAAGAAATCGACAGACTGTAAATGCGGACATCGAAGAAGTCTTCAAAATGAAGTGGTACACAAAAAGAAATATTCACATTACCGTTTGCTCAACATGGGAGTGGAGCAGCAGGAGAGTTTTGTACAAGTACAAATAAAGCAAAAATATATTTGTGCACCTGCTATTTGTACAAAAGTTGGCTGATTGCACGAAAAACAATAATATACTATTTTGAGTTCACAACATCGATACTTTTGTCTCTCATTCTTTACGTTCAATTCAGTAAGTTGTTGTATTCATTGTTTTAAAAGAACTTATCTCTATCTATATGGTAGAAACAATGCTCGTTTAATAAGCAAACACTTATTTCTAGTGAGAAAAAAAAATCGGAAGTTTTAGATATTCTAGATAAAAACGGTTTGAGCCCCGATTTTGAACTTTTTTTTTTTTTCATTTTAAGAGCTTGAATTTTTATGTTCTTACTCTTTTAAGGTTTAAATATTCATAAAAAGAAGTTGTAAATCAAAATACAAATTATAAGGACAACACGATATTCATTAGAAACAATATCTCCCCAATATGATTTAAAAATACAAGTGTAACCGTTTATAAATAGAAAAAATAAGAATAGTTAGACATCTTCCAGTCATCTTTTGTGTGTCTATTTGGGCAGGATGCAGGTTTTTTTGTTGTTGGAAGAAATGATCTTTGAACCGACTCTGATAAAAACAAATATTTTTTCAATAACAAACAGGAATTCTATTTTTTTTTTTTTTTTTATTAATTTTTATATTTTAGAAATAATTTACCAAATTAAATGAATTATATAATTGTTTATACAAAAAAAATTAAATAGTTTAAACATCGACGCGTTCCTATAACGACCCTTTATTCCTGAAACATGTATTGTGTGCTAAGATAGCATTGCAATTTTCTACTTTTTTTCTTTACAAGCCAAATCATTTAAAAGACTGGAAAATCCTTTGACTACTACTTTACACAAAATGGACGATTTTAGTGTCAGGAACGAAAAGTTTTCCTGGAAATAAAAGAATTTCAATACAAAAAAATTAACTGTTTTAAAATAAATAAAAAATAAATAATTTGCTTGTTTATTTACCGTTTTTAACAATTCTTCGTCTGTTACATCGTCTGCCAAGCATACCAAAATCATTGATAGCAAATAAATACTCCCAAAAACTAATTTCTCCATTGTGTTTGTAGTTCGTCTGTGTTTTCTCGTCAAATCTCGTCGGTTCTATGGTGTGTAACAAAGTGCCTGGCGGTGGTAGATTAGGATGCCGTCTCACTTTATTGGTCTTGAAAATGAAATGAAAGCTAAATGAGCAAACTATATAGAACTGAAATATAAACTTATTTAAAATTTATGATGAGAATTCCCTCGTAGTGCAGGCGGCTGTTCGAATGACTTGAAACATGATTATCACCATTTTATACCATTTACTATAAAGTGTTAATTTGTTGCTACCTACGGTAATTGAAGTTTTGTCTAATGTTACAGTTTTAAATCAATATGGTTCATTAAATATTTTAATAATCCATATTTGGAAAACGGATACAACTAGTGAGTATGTTAAAAAGAACCCAAAAGTAAAAGTACGAATTACGGTTCCGCGATGTTCAGCATAATATGGATAACTTTTGGAAATTCACCAAAAGGCTTTTTTTCTTCTTTAAATTCTTTTTCTTTTTAATGTCTACTATACTATGCTTTAAACAAGTTAGTTATAATTAAAGAGTATCATAAAGATGGTCGGACTCGATGGTAAAACTTTTTATTCACGATGACTGCATGATTATTCTGATTTTTTTTTATTTAAAAAGATATGATTCCTCTTAAGTACTGATTTACTTACCTGTCGTGTCAAAAAACTGATAAAATTTCCATTTTAAAAAATATATATCGTTTAGACGAAGGTTCAAAAATAAAAGACTAAAGAATATGTGGGATATAAATTCCGTATGGCGCATGCATACAATTTGTAGGTGCGTTAATAATATCTGTTTTTGTCTTAATCAAGAATCTTACTACCTCTTATCCCCGGGCATTGTCAGATCTAACTATGACAACATCAATTGAATCACACTAAAGACGAAAAAGGAATAATTTAATTTTGTTGTATGTTATGTTGGAGTTTTATAAGATAATTCCTGTAGAACAAGCATTTCGTTGTGGTGTTGAAACTTATCGGTGGCAAATGAATAAATGGATGGGACAAGAAGTACTATCGAGGGAATTTGATTTGAGAAGAATAATTCTTATTTTCAATAATGGGACACACCGATTTCCATTTACATATGGAATATCATTGGCAATTACAATAAATAACATCTCTCCTACATGTAACTTGTTGTTTGTCATCTGTCTTTTTAGACAGCCATTGAAAGATGTCATCTAAGAACGCCATACATCAATTCGGAATATCTCTATGTTTTAAGAAACACTTATTGACACCTTTTATTAAAGATAATTGTCTTTATTTTATAATCTGATTTGTAGCCCAGACTTGGAATATTGTTTTGTCTATCCGTCAAGATTTTATTGCTTTCACGGGTTTCTGAGGATGCAATTCTCTTTCGCTTATATAATATAATTAATGAATAGGTTTCATTTGTGCTCAATTTGAAAATAATTATAAAATGCGAGGGTGTGTAAAGGATGAAACTATGTTTAAAGGAAAAGAGGGGATACAAAAACAAAACGGAATTTCCAAAAAAACGGCAGTAAAAAAGAAAAGAAAAAATGAATGGGAATGGAATTCGACTGAAATTACAGAATTTTCTTGGGTCAAGAAATCAAAATGAAAATTTTAACATTTCAGATTAAACATTGAAAATTGGAGATAACAGTACGTACTAGCATTTGTAAGAAAAAATGAACAGAAATCCAAGAGATATAGAAATCCTTCTCCTTCATTTTACTGTTACACGTGTACCTGGAGTGGCATGGTGTCAGAATAACGGGCTACTATAAGAGAATAACAATGACCGAAATCAAGTGATTGAAAGGTGATATTCGATAATCTAGTATTACGTGAATGTTTGTCTGTTTGTGACATTCACTGAATTCGTCTTGTAGTATGTGATTGGACATTGGTTATCTCCAATATAATTATTGTCTGAGATCTCGAGTTTGAAAGTCTTTTAATGTTCCACTGACATTTCAACCAACGACGAAAACCTGGATCTTCATTTACTCTACTGGATACACAAATTATACAAGTGTCCTTACAGGATAAATAAAGACCGGGCTTCAGAGTTACTATGAAACTACCTACTCTTTTTTTTTTTGGGGGGGGGGGGGGGGGGACCAGATATGGATACTAAAAAATTCAAAAGAACTGCTATGTTCTGACAATTCAAGTCCTCTCCTCAAGTAACAGTATCGCAACATTTAACTTTACTACTCTTTACACTTGCATTCCTTATTCTAAGCTTAAAGGACAGATTGAAAGAATAAGTCCAACTTTGTTTCATTAAATAGAATGCCAACGCAGATACCAAAGTCATGTTTAAGAAATGGACAAATTATATTTTGTACAAATAGAAACACTGATTCGAACAAAAAGGTGTTACCCTCTCACTGAATCTGACTCGTCAAAGTGCTTTTCGCTATAAATATGTTACCCTCTCACTGAATCTGACTCATCAAAGTGCTTTTCGCTATAAAGATGTTACCTTCTCACTGAATCTGTCTCATCAAAGTGCTTTTCGCTATAAAGATGTTACCCTCTCACTGAATCTGTCTCATCAACGTGCTTTTCGCTATAAAGATGTTACCCTCTCACTGATGGTAATTATATTGACTGGATCTAACCCAATAAACCTAACACAGATACCGTACTTAAGTCTGCCTAATATCTAAAATTGAGAATGGAAATGGGGAATGTGTCAAAGAGACAACAACCCGACCACAGAACAGACAATCTGTTCGATTAAAAACTAAACTTGGCGACAAAATAGTTGATTTCTATTTTCCCATTGTAAAGTTCCTCTTTCTGTGAAGCAACATTCCAGATATCTCCCAGACGATACGATATTCAAGGGCTTGCGTTTCCTATCTAAGACTAACAATCCTCAACTTACAACGCCTCTCCGTAGACAAAAAGAGGACTACTGGATTCGACAATTTGGAACTGCGACACCATATGGTTGCAATGACAAAATTGATGGTAAAGGTATTCTATCTAGTCCTTCCTGTAGCTCGGTGAATGTGATAAATATTTTCAGCTCTACTCCTCGACGTAGAAGCAGTTATTGTCATCGTCATTATACATCACCTACTTTGCATGATGTCTCTATTAATGACTTGCTGCCATTTATACAAAAGCCGATAGGTATTCATCACATTCGCACGAAATTTTATTCATTACCCCTTTCAAAACTTCATTCTCTGTTCAATTTATGTTTGGAAACCACTGTTACAAACCCTCATTCAAACCAATACAAACTTACAGCTATCATTTCGGATATTGCAAGTCACAGACTTTTCAAACCAGTTCGGAATTGGAAAAGATGAAAAAGAGAAAAGATCTTTTCTTAAACTTTCCTTTGCCAACAAAGGTCTCGATGGCGTCAATTTGGGTAGGCAATATCCTTCATCATAAATTAGTTCAGTCGAAAATACCTCCTTATTTTAAAGATCAGTCTGTACCAATAATTTCTTACACCTATACCAAACCAACTGCAACTAAAATTTTCAATTACAAACACGTTTTGCAGGATCTCAACATTGACGACTTCAAGTCTAAACCTCCCGATTGCACCTGTGCTAGTTCCCAATTCACATATAATCCGGCTGGCCACGTTATTACCGGAGACCTCAACATTGTCAATAACACTTCCCTGCGAAATTTGTTATCCAAAGGTCCGAAATATCGTGAGCCTAAATCCATCAATTGAAAATATAACTTTAAAATACTGATGGATTCAGTCGAGGATTATGCCAGGCAATGGGCTAAACGCGAGGAAGAAGACGTAGATACTCTTTCCGAATGGATTAAGGTTGTAAGGTCATTGATACAAATCCGAATTAAGAAACTAAATGGGTCTTTCAATACCCACGCTACGTCAATTTTTAAAGACCCAAATGTTGCAAAACACTTGTCCTACCTCCATGACAAATATGTTGTTGTCCCCGCAGATAAAGCCCCAAACAACATCGTTTTTGTGTGTAAATATCATTACATAAACTGCTTGATAAATGAATTAGGTATTGACAATTCATTTGGAAACTCAACATATACCCTCACGACACTTACCAAAGAGGAAATCCTGGATAATCATAGGTCTGTTCTATGTTCCTTTGGAATTTCAACCAAAGATGAAGAACTTGATCTTCCATCACTGTATTGGATACCTAACTACATAAGTGTCCTTATAAACAACGGTATATTGCTGGGTCTTCCAAGTACTCCACGAAACCTCTTCCTAAATTATTAACATCTGTTTTATCAGCAATCAAAGCCGGGCTCCAAAGTTATTGTGAAACTGCCTATTCTAGAGGTGGCGTGAATCAGATGTGGATACTAAAAAATTTCAAAGATCTTTTAGAGTACATACAATCTAAGACTCTCTCATCTTGCAATAGTATTAAAACATTTGACTTTTCTACACTTTAGATAAGTATTCCCCATTCCAAACTAAAAGACAAATTGAAAGAGTTGGTATTACTTTGTTTCATTAAAAAGAATGGCGAACGTAGATACAAGTATCTTGTCTTGGGGAGGGATAAATCCTACTTTGTAAAGAATCACTCTGATTCAAACAAAAAATTCTCTGAAACTGACATCATCAAGATGCTTGATTTCTTGATTGACAGCATATTTGTTACGTTTGGAGGACGTGTTTTTCAACAGACTGTCGGAATTCCAGTGGGAACCAATTGTGCCCCTCTTCTTGCCGACTTGTTTCTTTATTATTATGAGGCTGACTTCTTACAGGAACTTCTTAGGAAGAAAGATAAGAAGTTAGCAATATCCTTTTACTTTACGTTCCGCTATATAGATGATGTTATTCACTAAATAATACAAAATTTGGTGACTATGTTGAACGAATCTATCCCATCGAACTAGAGATAAAGGATACTACAGATACAGTTAAGTCTGCCTCATATCTTGACTTACATCTAGAAATTGACAATGAGGGTCGGTTGAAAACAAAACTTTACGACAAAAGAGATGATTTCAGCTTCCCAATTGTGAACTTTCAATTTCTATGTAGCAACATTCCAGCAGCGCCTGCATACGGAGTATATATCTCCCATTTGATACGATATTCCCGGGCTGGTATTTCCTATCATGATTTCCTTGATAGAGGATTGCTGCTCACAAGGAAGCTATTAAACCAAGAGTTCCAAATGGTGAAGTTGAAATCATCCCTTCGAAAATTTTACGGACGCCATCACGAGTTGGTTGACCGTTATGGAATAAC